GAGTTCGAGCCCCGCGTCGGGCTCTGGGCTGATGGCTCGGAGCCTGGAGGCTGTTTCCGATTCTGTGTCTCCCTCTCTCTCTGCCCCTCCCCCGTTCATGCTCTGTCTCTCTCTGTCCCAAAAATAAATAAACGTTGAAAAAAAAAAAATTTAAAATGCTTATCAAAAGGCACAGACAGACCTCAATTACATAAGATGCATGTCAATTTATGTAGTTACTTCTTGGTCGTTTGACATGTATTGTGTATATGATCTGTATGCAAGACATACAACATACGGTTAAGGATGTTTTCAAAGTATAACTATTGGTTAAATGTAAGCTATTTTAATAAAATCATTCAGGTGAGACCTAAATATGAACATATCCAGCTCAGCACAGTTTTCTTACCTTTTGTTTTTATTTTATTTTAAATTATTTCACAGTATGTGATGGCACAAAAGGGATTTACATGGTTTGCAAAGAATGATAGGAGGATACACATGGGTTTCTTGTTTTTACTCTCGGATTAACTAGACATTATTGGCTTTCATAGTAACGTTAATTTGGAATGTAATGAAGTTGCTTCTTCAGTGATAGTTTATCTGCTATTTTAATTGAATAAAATATCTCAAGAATGTGTTGATTAATTTATGTATTGTCTATATATATATATACATATACACACACATACACACACACAGAAATATGTCTGTAAGCTTTCTCTCATATCCAAAAGAGAGTCTTTAGATATATTTGATATTTCCATGAGCCATGTGATTAACAATTATAGCAAGATATGTTGGAGAAAATTATCTTTGAAAGTTTTCCATCAGTGGCTTAATTAACATACAGTGGGCAGAAAGCAAACAATCTGCTGAGCCAGACTACTCAAAGATCCCTCCTGATGCTTTTGTTTTCACTACAGCTGGGAAGGGGAAAATTATATTACATATATCCCTGTATCTTGCTTCTGAATGATTCGTTTTGGTGATGATTTAAAGAATAATTTAAAATATTTTTATGAGTTTGAAAGCAAATGAAGTGCCCAGGAATAATTTACAATGTAGATGACCATGCTGTGGTTTTGCCAATTTTTCTCGGTCTTTTTTTCTATTAAATATTCATTCTTGACTTGTTTTATCTTGTCTAAAAAATAATTCTGAAATGAGATCAAAATCTAAGCCAATTTCATACTCCAGTCTTGATGAACCATGTAGGACTGAATTAGGAGCATATAGGAATGTTTCCTCTTAGTATTCATAACATCACCAGGGAAAAAGAATTAGGTCTAAAATAACAACCGAAAGAAAATTCACAGTAGCCAAGCCCTAAAGCTCACAAATTTTCTTATTAAAAAAAACCCCTCAGTGCCTTCCTTAGATCCTGTTTAGTCTTTGTAAATACAAGAGCTAGCAAGTAATTGAGTGATAGGTTTGCAAAGTTGAAGGTAGCAAATTCTAGGAGGAGCGAGCATGTCCATAATGGAGGCAAACCACTCCGCAGCTGTAATAGCTGTTAACATGACCATGAAGCAAGAGAATAAAAATGATAAAACATCGCTAACAATTGGGGGGGGGGGGGGGGGGAGGGAAACCCCACCACAACCCCACAGCTGTCTAAGGACTTACTTTGTGAGTACTAGAGTCAGCATATATGTTTGTCTTATACAGGAGGCCTCCCTGTCTGTTAAATTTACCTTCCCCAGTAACCCTTCTAAAGCATTACTTATGAAACTATGAAAACACTATGAAAAGAATTTGACATATTAATCAAACATGCCAAACTTCAACTTATGTAGTGTTAAAAGATAAACTGAGGCATAGTAAAAATTTCAAGAGTTTACCCGAGCAAGGATCAATTCTAGTCTGGCAGCCCTGAGCCAGAAATGGGAGCACTCTGAGGACAGGAGAGGGGAGAGACTGTTATGGGGAAAAAGGCAGACACAAAGCAAGAAAACTATTTGATTGGCTTAAGCATTTACCTGATTCAGAAAAGCCTAGTTGGCTGTGTGAGACTGGTTGTCCTTAGGTTTCAATTTCTTTTCCTGGAGGCCTTTACAGGCTTAGGTATGGGCTTGCTTGGGAAGGCTGTTAAGTCACAGAACTAATGATCTTTTTCTTTTAGTCAATTTTTTTTTTTTAGTTTTTTTTTCAACATTTATTTATTTTTGGGACAGAGAGAGACAGAGCATGAACGGGGGAGGGGCAGAGAGAGAGGGAGACACAGAATCGGAAACAGGCTCCAGGCTCCGAGCCATCAGCCCAGAGCCCGACGCGGGGCTCGAACTCCCGGACCGCGAGATCGTGACCTGGCTGAAGTCGGTCGCTTAACCGACTGCGCCACCCAGGCGCCCCTCTTTTAGTCAATTTAACAGTGGGGAATATGGGTTTTATCACCCCTAAGCTTTAAAGTTCCTTTCCATTTTTTCTCTAGGGTAAGAAGGTAGGGAAAAATGAGAGAGGGGCTCAAGGAAGTTGAGAAAGAGACTTTCTATGCAGACAGCCCCCCAGTGTTCGTTATTTTGTCTCACTGCCCTGTGCCAGGATCACGGGGGCTAGCGTGATGTTCCTGGCCTCCAGGCATCACGGGAAGTACCATTTTTTGTCTTGTGTTATAAATCTCTGGAAAGGTAGTGATAACATAAATATCAAGCAATTAATATCAAACAGTAGCACCCAAGAGTTGTTTTGAAATTCTGTTTTGAAGATTTTAATAAAGATTAATTCTTTGAAGTTTTAGGTAGACTTCCTGATTTACATTTTAGAGGACGGAAAAACCTCTGCTTGGAGCTCTTCCCTTTGTGTGATTGTTTTAAAAGCCATTTTTATATCCAGGAGCATGTAATCCATTAACTGCATTGTATTTACTACATTTCTTATCTGGATTGACATTCTAACAAGAATCTTGTATAGATTTTCAGTTGCTCTGATATGATTATTTGTATTCAGATAGCCACCACCTTTAGTGCAAGACAAATACACATCTCTAAAATTAACCTAAGTGTTGGGCCAGCAGGTCTTACTGGTTGTTATAAAACTGTATTGCTTAGTTTTGTTGTATGCTGACTCATATATTTTTGGTAATGAGACAGAATATATAAATAAAGCAAATAAAATTGCTTTATGTAGCTTTGCCTAGAACCATAGGTCTTAGAGCCTGACACATCGTCAGGAAAAGCTGTCTGCCTTTGCAGGTAAGGTAGTTTCATTCCCATTTAAAATATAGGGTAACCAAAGCACGGAATTTTGTAAATTATGCTGGACCCCATATCCAGCAAACCTAACAAAGAATTCCACCCCAGGTCTTTTGAATCCTTGTGCAGTATTTCTTCCATTACTTAATTCTGCCTGGTCCAATCATTTTTGTTCCAAAGAGACTGTTAACAGCTCATTTATCCATCAGTCAGTCAGTCATCAACATTTTTATTGAGCACAGTTCAATGGCCAGTGGGACAGCAATGTTAAAAAAGAAACATTTTATATGGTGATGATGACAATACTCCTTAGCCATAGTGATTGAACGTTTACTGTGAGTTGGCAGGCGGGGGTGGGGGGGGACCCATGATCAGCCCTTTGTGTACCTGAGATTTTTCAGCCTTACAACAATTCTGTGAATTGTGCATGGTGCTCCATTTTTCTAGCTCTTGAGTTCCCATATGTGGAGCTCTTGGCCACTTCTGTCTTCACCGTTCTTTTAAGCTCATATTGCATGGGCCCATGAAAAAGTCTAAATTACCAACACTATGGTGGTAATATGGTGGTATTTCTCTCTGGGCTGTATCTGCCAAAGCATCAAGCAGTGGGAGATCTTTTAAGTTCACGGTGAAACCAAAGAATATCCTTTCTGTCTAGAAGAATTATTAGCACCTTTCTGAGTTGAAAGGGAAATGTGTTAGACCATTTGTGTGTGATTAGCAGTGGTAGCCTTAACTTAGTTATTAGAGTTCTAAGTAGCTGATACAGTAGTGTAATAAGTCACATTAAATACATTTTGGTTTCTTGGAATGTTCTCATATTGAGGGCAACATCACAGCTATAATTAAATCACTGCTCTCTTAGCCCTCTTTGAACCTGTATCCTGCCAGTTATAAAGGCTGTCAATTCATATCTTTGGGTAATAGTTGTGTAGAAGAAGCCTGTTCTTCTTGGTCAGAAACCGAATTTCCCATACTTGCGATATACCTTCCCCTGCTGACCCACTGAAATGAAAGACTAGGAGTAATGATTAAATCTTATTTTCCCTCCTGTAGTAGCAGGATGAGCTGGGTCAGCAAGGCCAGTCCCTGCAGATGGCTTTAAAATACCTTTGTGATTTGGTCTCTTTGCCTTCCCATCCATTTCTCTAAGTGCCTATCACTGTCATCCTTCACCACCCTGACAAGAGTCCAAGGTGAGATCAGCACAAATGAACAAGAGCCTTTGTGATGCCTCCTGTGGGTGTTGCTTATTAAGTGAGGTGGGCAATGAACCAAATCTGACTTGTGAGCAACAAAGCAGGTTAGCACATTTACACAAAGATCATTCCATATATTATTTAACCCATTCAAATACATTGTTGTCTCCTTGCTGCCCAGCAAAACTTGTGTGAAGGGAATATAAACTCACAAGTTAATAACGTCTGATTTTTATTTTCAAGTGTGCTAAGAATCACTAGGTTTCATTCCTTTGTTTGGATTGTAGCTTATTTTCTCAGGACAACTAGAGAATGTTTATGAAGCGTGTTTGTGCAGAGGGTGGGGAGGGAAGGGAATAAAATGCATTGCTTTAGGGCTGCACATCTGTTTTAGGGACTCTGCTGGATCTGCACATTAACCATTGTCATGACTTATGGCGTGTTTTAAAATTGCATTCTACACAGAGATGTTCATACCAACTCAAAATATTATAATTAAACAGATTCCGCTGTTATGAGTTAGTTTCCTATTTTCATGACTAGCAGACTTATTCTTCTGCTCTGTTAGTGAGCATGTATATGACTCATAGCAAGTGGCAACTCATCATTGTATTTCTTGTTCAAACAGATTGGCAATATCAAGTTGCTCAGGTCTTCCCACGAACAGAACAGGAAGTCGATGTGGACACGCATGCATTCAGCCACCGGTGGAAAAGGAGCTTGGATTCCCTCAAGGCAGTAGACTCGAACCGAGCAAGCATGGGCCAAGACTCCCCAGAGCCCAGAGGCTTCACAGACCTGCTACTGGATGATGGGCAGGACAACACCACCCAGATTGAGGTAGGTAACCAATCTGGGCAACTGAAATGGATTGATGCATGTATTTCCTGTAAGGCACCCAACTCCCACGTATGTATAGACTGGCCCTTCAGCTCAGTCCAGAGCTTCGGGACTTTTTGTAAGGATCAGTTTAACTCATCCATAAATAATTAGTTGATATTTACTAATTCAGTAATAAATAATTGTAACGATATTAAGTAAATACATCGTAGCTAAGCCATTTATTTAGTCACAGATGTATTCATTTACTCTAGAAACAGACAAATATTAGCTTGATGTGGTGATGACCGTGAGGAAACACAAAGGAACACGATACAGCCCCTGCCTGCAAGGAAGTCACTGTGTAACCAAATCATCTCTAGGCTATGTGATACGTACGAGAAAAATACAGGCTATAGCATGGCATGGAGGAGGGAGAGATCACCTGCTTAGGATTGGGGGATGCACCACTGTCAAAGAGGCTTAGCCTGGGAGAGGGCATTTAGGCAGGGGCTTGGCAAGTTGAGAGGAGCTCACCAGGTTGATACCCTGCCTGGAGTAAGAAAGGAGATTCCCGGCAGAGTAAATTGCCTTTTCAATGGCTAAGTCTTAGAACAGTAGGGCATGCTTGAAGAGTCTCATAGAGTGGCCAGCTGTCCCATTCTACCCCGACTAAGGGTTTCCTGGAGCGTAGCACTTTCAGTGCTGAAAACAAGACAGTTCTGGGCGAACTGGAATGGTCGGTCACTCGGTGACTGTAAGCAATTCTTTGTTATGGTTGGAGTTATGGAGTGGAATGAGGGTGGTTGGAGTTGGGTTGGATGAGTATGGAAGTTTGCTGAGGGTACATTTTAGGCAGTCTGTAGGGTTGCCCAGAGGCCGCAAGTGTAGTATTACATCGTTTAAGTTTCTATTGTCCTTAGCATTGCAAATCACAAAATAGGCTCCTGTTAGTCCTCCAGATCTAACAAAAACAAAGAGGTCAATCTTATGAAAATAAGCAAAAACCACCCAAACAAGAATGGAGGCTATTTATTCAGTCTGCCCTAGCAAGAGTCAGCTTCCATCACTTCCCTTTGGTAGAGACTCAAAAGCAGGCAGGGGAGTGGGAAAGTTTCTCCTTTAAAAAGAAGAGGAGGCTTCAGGTATGCTCTGATTGGAAGTTGTTGGCATGGAGAAGCTGGAGGTGGGTTAATTAGAAGCAGAGCATCTCGGGCGATCGATTTGGGGACCGTATTTGGGTTTTACTGAGTTAGACCTAGAGGCAAAAGATAGGAAAGCTGTCAGTTATTCACCAAGCCCTGATCATTCTGGGCTGAGTGCTGCTGAGGTTGTTTCCCTGGACTGGTTTCTGTAGAGGTTGGGGGTAAGAGTTCTGTTGTCATCCATGGTCTGGCCATCGTCTGTTTGTGTATGCTCTCTCAAACTGTAGTTGTAGTTCTATTTTCTCCTAGGTGACCAGTTCCTACTTTTTAGGAACCAAACAGCATTCTTTTTACGGCCCTGAAACACTCATTATTTAGGAAAAGAACTCCACTTCCTGAAACAGACACTACATAGGTCTCCAAATAGTTATCAAGGCATCATTTTGTTCCTGCATAGCGAAAGGAATCTTCAGAAGATCTGAAGCACAGGCCGTTGGGATTCTGTGTATGTGAGAAGGCCAGCAATTTTCAAAACCCCTCTCCATCTCCTTGGCTAGCATGTGACTCTGGTGGTCCCTGACTGCCCCATCCAGGCCCCTCAATAGGCAACAGAGGATGTGCCAGGAGCAGAAGTCATATAATATCTGTAAGAGGCTATTCTGACTCCTGCAGAGTGCCTGCTATTTTGGCAACAGTGTTGTTATAGCAACTCGCAGAGGGCAACATATTTCTTCCCTGAGCACTCTTTAGCTGGGGTGCGACCTGAAGAAAGGAGAGTTGCTCAGAAGCAGAGGTGTTTACTCTCTGTCCAGAACTGGTAGCCTACTGAGATTCAAAGAGGAGAACACGCATTCCTAGAACTCTGTGATCTCTAGGCAGGATGCTGAATCTTCTTCATCATTTGTAAAAGCGAAAATCCCTTTGCTCAGGGATGTATTAACACTCCTCAGAATATAGTCCCGATTGTTACTATACCCATGATTTTGTTATTCAGCCAGTTTTTCTCTTTTCTGCCTTAACAGGGAGATCACATAATGTCAATGGTTTTGAGTCAGTGAAAAAAAAAAAAAAAAAAAAAAAAAAAAAGGCAGGATAGTGCAGGTGCAGAGAGGTATATGCTGGATAATCACTCGGTGCTAAGGTCTGCCAGGCACAAACAGTATGGATATCATCTTGCCTTGTCCTGACATCAGCCTAGTGTGATTTGTGTCTCCAGGTTCACTGGGTAATCTCAGTGACTTTTACATGTGGGCAATTTCAGATTTAGGTTTGGTATTTTTCCTAAGCTCTTCCATTAATGAATAAAGGTATTTAAACCCAGGCCTGCCCAACTCCCCAGATTTATCGTTTCTGCTTGACTTCGCTTCCTCTAATACGAGGAAAAGTAAATGGTACTTTGATTATGTCATGATTTTGGACAATGGCATTACCCGAATATTGATGTGAAAGTAATTTGGGGGTTTCAGTCTGGCTGGAAGGGGACTTCTCTTGAAGCTAGATTTCATAACAAGATGACCGCTTTTATTTTTTAAGGGTTTATTTATTCTGATGCGGTTCTGGGGATGATGGAGATTATTGGGGACTCAAGTCCCATAAGTCACTCCTTGGCACACTACCTCTAGTTCTGGAAACAAAAGCCTACATCTGAAACTTCTCTGCAAAATTTATTTATTCTGGCCCTTGAAATGGCATTTTTGAACATTGTTGTGTCTCTTTTAGGGAAAATATTTTTGCCTGATTGAGTTAAACAGAAATAAGGAAGAAAGGAACCAAATGGTTGTGGAGTGGCTACTCTGTGCCGGGCATTATGACAAGGTCTTTCTTAGGAATAAACATTTTGATTTATGTCGCTTAATACAAGCAATGAGCATGAAAGACTACGTGTGCTTTTCCCTTTAGATGCTTCCAAAGTTGATGTCAAGAATCTGAATGGTTTTGTCCCAGAGCCCTGGCTGTAGCAGCGGCTGTTAAAATGATCTGTATCCCTGTGAGACTTAAACCACCCAGAATGGCATTCGAGCACATGTCCCCCACTTCTGCCGTCGTCTAGACTTGATATCCCACTTTCACCAAAGACAAAAACAAAAGACAATAGCATACTTACTATTCTGGCACAGATTCATTCTGAAATAAACAAAGGCTGTTATTTTTTAAACTTGGTAACAGTCTATTTTCTAGCTCTGCACAAGAGCAGATAGTGGAGGGACTGTAAAACTTAGTATCTCAATTACAGAATTCTTCCAGTAGAAATTTCTTGTTGTTGTCATCATTTTCTTTCTTTTTTTTTTTTAATATTCCCCCCATGAAGATATAAAGATGTTTTGAAACCGATTATATTTCCTGATGAGTGAGTAGGAACTCAACAGTTGGCAAATGCCTCTGTTGGTCTGACTGTTGATTTATGAAAGACCTTTCTTCTTGTACTTTCTCTGTTCATGTGGACATATGACCACGTGACCAGGTAAGAACAATGCCTTCTTACGATTGGTAGGTATTAAAAGCAGTCGCTCGTGTGCTACTTTTTGTAATTACTTTGGGAATATAAGGCTTCCAAGCCTTTCGGGTAAGGTTGAATTCCGTTCATGATTCAACTTTGTTCGAGCAGCATTCAGTGAATCCCATGACCCCAGGGACAGGTGCACGGACAAGCAGCACATAAGTCTTCACCTGGTTGCTGGCTGTTTTTCCTCTTGGCTGGCACAGAGCTCTTGAAGCATCAGTGGCATTATGGAATGGGGAGGCCCTGAGCAGTGAGAATTATTGATCTTCCTGAAGATCAGATTCGTCAGCTGACTCCTTGTAATGGTGCTGGTAATCTATAGTTCTTCACCTTTAAAGAAATCCAACACAGATTCTTTTCTAATACCCTGTACCTGAACCACACATGGAGTTTTTATCACTAATTTACATGCAGTATTTTGACCTTCATATTCCCTCTCTTGGGACAATGAAAATGTTTCCGGAAAGGGTTGTCAAGTGTGATTTTTTTTTCCTTGCCTTGATTCACAAGCACTGGGATGACTTAAAGAAGGGGATATTTACAAATAGGAATTATGGATCCTATAACTCCACAGTCCAAACCGACTCAGAAATTGTGAGCCAGTCTGCTGCCTCTCGGGTGTTGCGCGTGTGGCTGGACCACAGGCCACCCTTTGAGCTGCAGACAGTTAGACCACAAAGCGGATTTAGCTGTTAGTTTTGAAGATGTAAATGTTCTGCAAAGCCTTAGATTAAATTGTGCCGCCTACCAGCAGCATGTCTTGTGGATTTCTCCTTTTGGTACCAAGTTCAAAATTGCAGGCATATCCGGCAGTTGTATCATCCCTGTTCACATTAAAGCTCCTCTCTGAGGAAGGTACAGTTGAGAATGGTCAGCAAATGTGTGCGATGAATATGGCTAAAACTCAGAGGCCAACTGTTTTTCTCCAAAATGCATATGTGGAAAATCTTTCTGATCTTCATCGATAGCACATGTCAAATTGTGTCTGCACCTTCCGTTTACCGATTTTAGAACAGGTTTCTCTAAAAAGTTAGCAATTGCTAACTGCTGCACACAAGGCTATTATATGTGTTCTAATATTTTATTGCAGTCCATAACTAAGCAATCTACTTGAAAGGAAAGAAGTTGCTGGCAAGTACTTAATCTTGCTTGGGGTTGCTTTGATGATTGTTTTACATAGAAACAGGCAAATTCTGTAATGCCCCATGTGGGCAGAATCTTCCTGGTATCTGTGCAACACAGAGAATACATCAGAATATTCTTGGATGATGAAAATCTTACTGCTTGTGTGTCTCAAGTCTAAGTAAGCTGTCTCCATTTCAGAGGCCTGGCAATCACAATAATGAATATAAATATAGGGTAATATATCATCCCAT